TTTGTTCCTTTTTTTCACCCCCCCCCCCCCCCCAACTTTCTAAAGAAGTTTCATCTATTAGAGCCAGCTCCCTTCCCTCCTCCTTCCCCTTACGATTGCAGCTCTCGCAGGCGCAGGGAGAACAGCAGCAGCGGCAGCTGAGTGGCGCAGGCTTGTTGTTGAGCTGAAGTGGTGATAGCATCAAAGGAAATGGATGGGGATTTCTGAGATCAGAGCTGTTAGGGCCATTCATGATTTGTTGCCAGGCTGAAAGCTGCTGCAGAGAGAGCTGCCTGAGAAATGCTGATTAATACGGTAATTGAGGTTTTCTATGAGCGAGAAGGAAAAAATGAAAATATGACTAAAAATGTTCTTTTTGAAATGAACAACATTTTGAGATTGCACATTCCAGACAATAGCGGCTACTGGTATGAAAGATTTCTATAAAAGAGCAGAAAACTGCTGGTTGAACAGGGCGTCTTTTTATGTTTCTCTATTAAGGAGGAAGGTCAGAAGGTCAGTCTATATATTTCTTTAATGGCAGAGTTTCCTTTGTGATTCTTACTTCAGTACACATTCTTAACAATTTGTTTCTGTCTCTTCTTTCTTGATAAACTTAGTTTTATTCCAGATCAGGCACCATTAGGCTAGACCTGCACACCAGTGAAATCCCTTCTCCTGTGCTACAGTAGTTGTGGGCTCAGCTGCACCAAGACACCTGGAGCTAATTTCAGGATAGCCTTGGAGTGTGCCACGGAGTTATTTGAAGTCTGTAGGCTTCATAGTCTGTACTCACCTCCCCAGGCTCTGGGAAGGGAGCCGCGCTGACCTGGGATATTGGCATCCTCTTCTCGGCCTGACGAATATTTCACTTCATCTGATCTGATCTAATCTCTGCTTCCTCTTCTTCTCCTGCCCAAAAGCATTCTCAGTTCGTTGAAAGGCAGATTTGCTTTTCTCCTGCCCTCCTTCACATTAAGAAGATCTGCCCTTTTTTCTTGCCCCCCTTCCCCCCCTTTTTTTTTTTTCTTTCAAGCTAACAGGGAAGTGAAAAGCTCTGAAACAGCTGCCTCTCAGAGTGAGACTATTTTTCGGTAAAATAATCACCTTCAGTATGACTACATTGTTTTTCTGTTCTATGTGGTGTGACTCAGCATCAGTTAATTAACCCAATCAAGTAGGCCGGATTTCTCTCCTTTAATGAATGGTTCTTCCTACTTCAGAGCCTTCCTAGACCTCATTTTGGATGCGCCTCGGTTTTACCGGGTATATCCAATTACACTTATATCCTTCAGCCCAGTGCTCGGGCCACCTCTCTTGTGGAATTACGCCGTGGTGGAAGTTAAGCCAGGACGCTCACTTGCAAGCAGTTGCCCTACTTATGTCTGCTGCCACGAGCCCTCCTGTGTTAGCGCATACGGAAGGTCTTTACACAGATAAACTATTCTCAGCATCGCAGACCGAAAATGGCAAGTAATCCTTTCCACACGTCTTTTTATCAGAGGGAGGAGGAGCAGGTTAAGGGAAAGGGATGTGTGTGCACCCATCAGAGAGACAGACAGGCACCTGATTGCATAAAACGTGCTCTTTTTTTTTTTTCCTCTTTCTCCCTTTTTTCCTGTGAAGAAGCACGTAACACCCAGATCACCCCAAAATATAAGTGTGTGTGTGTTTAAAAGAGGAATGTGAAACTAGCTGCCATGTAAAGTGCTGGGAAAGTGATGAGAAATACACTGGCAGACGGGTGAGAAGGAGGAAGAGTGCAATAGAGTTGCCTGGCAGTGCAGCAGCTCGCGTTCAGAGTGGGCTGTCGATGGCTATAAATGGAATTGTGCATCACCGTTCCTCGGAGCCCGAGGACGCCTCGCTTGAAGAGACAGGACCACTGAAGGAAGTAAGGCATCTGGTTGTTTGGTAATGAGAAGCAGGAATGCTCTTAATAATAAACAAACAGGACATTGTATGCCATCATCACAGGATGTCCTTCCTTCAGCCAGCACGCTGACTTGGATCGGAGGGGGGGGTATGTGTGTGGAAATCAAAAGGGGGGCTGCAGGGTCTGCTAATTGATTAGTTGCTGTCCCAATCCTCTTTCCATCCCCAGCCTGCTCCCGGGTGGTCGCTTACCTGTCGCCCCGCGCAAGGTGACAGCTGGTTTTCTTGCCGCTGGGGGAAGGAGGTGAGGAGGCTGGGGACGCCGGTGGCCTTGCCCCGCTCCTGCCATGTCGGCTTCCCGGCAGCTGCCGAGGGAGGGGGGGACTGTCCCTGAAGGAAGAAACGGAAATGTTTTTCCCAATTCCTTTTACAAGCGTTGATTAGAGAGAGATGCTGGGAAGGGATAAAATCAGAACCCCGAAACTCCCAAACTGGTCATACCAAGTGAAGTATCGTACTCGTTAAGGTTTAAATCGGGGTTTAGTCGGTATTCGGAACCTGGGAGTCATTTCAATTGTGTGGTATTTTTTTAATAGAGTTCTATCTAGTCAAATCGAGGGAGAACGAAGTGGGCACATGTTGACCTCCGGAGCTTTAAAAGAGCAGGAAAAAACAGATTTTTTTTTTAGTGAAAACCGGCTTGCGCTCGCTTCCCACCGAGGTGCCCGCCCGACCCAGGTCTCCCCACTTACGCGAAGGGGGGTGTGTGTGTGTGTGGAGGTGCCCTCCCCGGCCGTCGCCTCTTGGTGGAAAAGGGAGGAAAAAAAAATAAATTAATATAAAATAGGTAATTAGTAATAACGATAATAATTTTAGCCGGGCGGCAGGTAGAGAGCCCCACCTCCCCGCCCTGCTGAGGGGAGAAGGGAGGGGCCGGGCGGTGCGCGCGGCTGTGGCGGGCGGTGCGCGCGGCTGTGGCAGGCGGCCCCCCAGCGTTCCCCGGCGGCAAGAGCAGC